AAGAAAAATGGTTCTCCTAGTACCTGACTTGTTGGACGCGCTAACCATTCCGCCTCAATCAACTACCCCCCTTCTCAGTGAATGTGTGCGATGCGTGTATGACTCTGTGCGTATATGTGTGAGTGTCAGTGTGCGTGAGTGTGTGTGTGTGTGTGTGTGCGTGTGTGTGTGTGTGTGTGTGTGTCTGCGTCTGTGTCTGTGTGTGTGTGTGTGTGTGTTGTGTCTGTGTGTGTGTGTGTGTGTGTGTGTGTGTGTGTGTGTGTGTGTGGCTGTGTGCGTGTGGCTGTGTGCGTATGTATGTTTATTCTGTGCGTGCGTGTGTGTCTATGTGTGCGCGAGTGTGTCTGTGTATCTGAATGTGTCTGTGTATCAGAATGTGACTGCGTAACATAACGTGCTGACTTTGCACTGTTTCCCATTCATCCCCCCCCCCTCTCTCTTCCTCTTCCTCCTCCCTTCTTGCTTGTCTTCCTTCAGCTGCAAATAACTGACGGTAGTCGACTGTTGCCGATCTCACAGATGAACCGCGAGTGGCATGACATTGCAACATTGTGACCCTGCGTTGGTTTATGGACAAGAAAGCAGTAATCAACCAACACCAGTCAATCAACGGGCAGGAACACAGGAGTTGACACACATGCACATACACGCACGTGCTGGTAGACCAAACAACATCAGTGCACACATACAATCAATGCACTCCAAAACAAACGCATGTGAGGGACTGCTGAATGTCACGTAGCAACGCAAGCAACAAGCGGGTCTGAATGACAAACACCAATGATGACACGCACACACACACGCACGAACAGAAATACACACGCACACACACGTAACACACACACACACAAGCACACACACACGTAACACACACACGAACAGAAATACACACACACGCACACGAACAGACACACACATACACATATAAACACACGCACTCCGCCCTCCCCATCTCTCCTGTCGTGCGGCTCAGATACGGATGCGGAAGGTGTTGACAAAGTCGGGTGCGCGGGAAATGACGTGTTCAAACTCAACATAGGAGAGACGGTGGTCGCCGTCGAGGTCTGCCTCCTCCAGAATCTTGTCGGCAACAAGCTCGCGCTCGTATTCGCTCAGGCCGTCCTTGCCGCACAGGCACTCGATGGTGTCCATGAGGTCCTTCTTGTCGAGATACCCATCCCCGTCAAAGTCTGCTCGTGGGCATGACGCGACGACACAATCAAGGTGTGGGTGGGAAACGCAGTGAACCAATGGATGGATGGATGGTTGGTTGGTTGGTTGGTTGGATGGATGGGGAAGACAGGCGAGGAGCAAGGAAGGTTGGCGGGCGTGCTTTTGAAGGCTGTACAGCACCACACCCACCGCTTTCCTCACTTAAAGCATGTGTTGCAAACAGAGCAAGCACTGGAACCCGCACCAGCCATCAGTCCCACGCCCCGAACCCCACCCCTCTCCGACGCACCGTAGATGCGGAACGCGTATGAGGCCTTGACGTCGCGGGTCGCGCCCTCACTGAAGACGGACATCATGTCCAGGAAATCCTCAAAGGAGATGTGCCCTTTCTTTTCCCCGTCTGTAAACTGTGAAAACACAAGACATATGCGTTCCTTGAACGGGTTCTCCTTCAACTCCACCAAGTCCAGGACCTATAAGAGCAAGCACGCAACAGGGGAAACGATGGCGGTTGTCGTTGGGGGGAGGGTATTGTTTGCGTCGGGGAGTGAGCAACAGGCACAGATTGACATAATGGCTTTGACATACACGCACAACGCACGAACGAGCACACACACAACGCACTCAACACACAACACATAAACACAAACACATACACAAGACGATAAACACAAGACAAGCAACATATACACATACACAAGACATCAAACGCAAACGCACAAGACAACATACACATACACACATACACACATACATAAGACACCAAACGCATACACAGCACAGCACAACACACAACACACAACACACACACACACCTGGTTCATGGCAAGGGAGTCCTCCAGCGATTTGCCGCCAAGCTGCCGATACCGCTCAAACACATGGATGATCTCGCGCTTTGTGAAGAAGGTGCAATCCTGGTACTCTTCCAGGGTCTCTGCGTCTAGCAGCTGGCTCGATGAGCAACCCATCCTGGGTGGTGTTGGTGTTGGTGTTGGTGTTGGTGTTGGTGTTGGTGTTGGTGTTGGTGTTGGTGTTGGTGTTGGTGTTGGTGTTGGATCAAGGATGGATGGTGGTGGGTGGGTGGATCTTGAATGACGACGAGCGACGTTTGCGTTGTTGGGAGGAGTGGAGCTTTTTAATGCGACACCACAAAATGCAGTACAACAGCGAAAGGGGGCAAAGCAAAAGGTGGAGCCACTCTTGCTTGCAGTGCCTTGGCTTGCTTGCAGTGCCTTGCCCTACTTGCAGTTGGGCTTGTTGGTTGTCTGGTCAACAGCCTTGCTTGCGACAAGAAGACAACAAGCAAGACTTCGCATTGCAAGGGGCGAGAGCACAGCGGCGGCACGCAGCAACAACAAGGATGATAACAAAGGGCCATGCAGTAATGTAACGTGTGCAACAGTAACAGCAGCACAGCAGAGGGGGGGGGAAGAAAAACGGCAGCAGTGTGCATGTCTGCCCTCAGCGCAGGACTTGCGTGAGGAGGGTCGTGACGTTGCCGGCAATGGAGTAATCTTGCCAGCCTGGAATCTCCAGCTGGTAGATGGTGGCGCCAAGGACGTAGCTGTCCTGGCGCAGCAGCGCATCGTACCACAGCATCATGTTAACATATGTTTGCGCGCAGTCTGAGCCGTGGCCGTGGGCGCTCCACCAGCTGCAGTACTTGCGCCAGCCGCCAAAGTTGGGGGAGGCCGGCTGCGTGCAGGGAGAGTTGTCGATGCCAAACTCGGACACGACCAAGGGCAAAGTGCGGTTTGATGGGATGAGAAACTGGCGGTAGTACTTGCGGTAGCGGCCCGTCATCCAGCCCTCGCCCGTGCTGTTGTCAAAGCAGTTGGCCAAGATTGGCGAGTTGTACTCGTGCAGCCCAAGGATGCCCTGCGTGGTGTTGAAGTGGTTGTATAGCAGAGTGAGATTGTTGGTGTGTGTGTGTATATGTGAGGTGTGTATGTGTGTGTGCAGTCATGTGTGTGTGTGAAGTTGTGTGTGTGTGCATTCATGTGTGGAGAAGACAATAGCAATGGCATGGCTGGTTAAATGACAGGCACTGACTTACGTTATGCTGAATGGCAGCGTCGATGGCTGGGTTGAAGGCGTTGATGTGATCCGCCTGCGTCACATCGGGGCTGCCGGTGCCAAAGTTGCCAACGCTGGCCTTGGCTCCAATGCCTACGAAGAGCAGGAGTCATGAACAAGACAACAGCCTGAATGAAATGGAACTCACCGCACAACTAGAGGGGGTACTGGCACATGTCTTGCCTACGCATACACAGTGAATGTTAAACACACACACACACACACACCCACACACTAACACCAACACACGAACACGCACGCACACACACACACACACACACACACCTGGAATGGTGCTTTGGCTCACCTGCAAGCAGCTTCACGCGAGCCGCCTCAAACTGGCCAATCCACTGCATGTCCTGCAGCGTCCCTGCACCGGGTTCGTTGTACCCTTCCCAATAGTCAACGGCTGAGCCGCGAATGTGTGTGTGTGTGTGTGTGTGTGTGTGTGTGTGTGTGTGTGTGTGTGTGTGTGTGTGTGTGTGTGTGTGTGTGTGTGTGTGAGAATGAGGGTGAGAACCAAGTGAACAGAGTGAAGCAAGTGTGCAGAAGGCAAGTTGCAAAGGACTCGTGCACATGTGGCGTTGTTGATCCATGGGTTGCAAAAGAACTTGAGCGAACGCACCTGGATTGGCGGTGATTGTACCCTTGTGGTCATTGAACCAGGCCTGCGCAGCTTGGGTGGGATCCCCACTCTATGTTGTGTTAACCGAAAGCCGGTTGGGGACGGGGAGCGTGATGTGATGAGGGGTTGTTTGTTTGTTTGTTTGTTTGTGTGTGTGTGTGTGTGTGTGTGTGTGTGTGTGTGTGTGTGTGTGTTGTTGTGTGTGTGTGTGTGTGTGTGTGTGTGTGTGTGTGTGTGTGTGTGTGTGTGTGTGTGTTAGGTGGAATTGGAGCATCTGCTCCCCTATTAATTTCGACCGAATGTAATTCACTCCGATGTACCCGTAGCAGCAGCAATGCCGAAACTAGAGTGCATGATTTGGTGTTGTTGTTGTTGTTGTTGTGTGTGTGTGTGTGTGTGTGTGTGTGTGTGTGTGTGTGTGTGTTGTGTGTGTGTGTGTGTGTGTGTGTGTCTGTGTGTGTGTGTATGTGTGTGTGTGTGTGTGTGTGGCGCGGGGGCAACAATCAGAACGAGAAAGCCGCAACTCAGCGTGTTGGGGAGGTGGGTGACACACGCGCACGCACGCGCACGCACGCACACACCTGTGGTTGGTTTGGAAGGTAGATGCGACCAACAATGAGTGTGCTCGGGGACACCTGCTTGATTTGTGCGGCAGGCCCGAAGTTGTCCAGCAACTTGACCACTGGCGGCTTCACCGCCTGCAATCAGGCATAGGGCACGAATGGGCACAAGGCATGGTGGGTGATTCCCAGAAACCTAACAAAAAGGAACACATGCAAACAAGAAAACACATACACACACGCGAGCACGTGCGCAATCACACGCACACAAGCACAAACACAAACACAAGCACTAACACAAGCACAAACACACGCACAAACACAAGCACAAACACAAACACAAACACAAACACAAACACAAACACAAACACAAACACAAACACAAACACAAACACAAACACAAACACAAACACACGCACAAACACAAACACAAACAAGCATACACACACGAACAAGCACAAACAAACGAGCACCTTGATGAATTCCCAGCTCTCTGTGCCGGGATCGAACGACGTGTGGATGGACAGCTTCCCTTGCCCAGCCGCCACTGGCTTGGCCATCCAAGG